AAATTCATATAATGAAAGTAACAACTCTTCTAATAAATAGACAATCAAAAAATATAGAAGTGGACGATAAATAAAATCTTCTCTATACAATCAACTGTGCTTTCAAATCAGTTTTAATTCCATCAGTGCTGTGATATGACATTAAAATTGCGTATCGTCAGAAACAAACCATAAAAACCGAAAACATTATTACTGCTGATCCAACATATTTTTGATTATTATCTTCGTCTACTAAATCACATCGAGTTGAATTACATAAATAGTGAGCTCAATTCCTGTTATCTACGAAATGAATTAAAAATAATCGTCTATCATCAAGAGTAGATGTAGTCTTTTGAGTTCACTTAAACTGTCAAAATTGGGTGCTAATATAAACCTTAACACTAATGCGAAACTAGAATCGATGAAAAAAGTTGTTATCATTAATATGCGCCATTTTCATTCAACGCAGGATACACTGAACTAATACGTTCACAATTTTGTTTAGGAAAAGACTTACTTAAAATGATGGAAATCGAGACATATATCAGGTGATTGTCTTAGGATTAAAACGTTTCATTTTAAAATTGATTATCAAAGTTTAAAGTAAAACTTTAAATTTAATAAGTTTACGAAAATCTTTTAAACCTACAATAGCAATTCTAAATCAAAATCGATGAATAAATAAAAAAAAATTGACTACTTATCATTCAGGCCACAAACATCAGGCGGACTAATATCTTAAAACTCGGTCTGGTCGTGCAGTCTGCCAGACGCCTGGAGGCTACTAGGTCTAGCTGGCGGCCCTGATCTGCATGTTCGAAGGCACTATTATTTATAGAGTTAATAATCACCTTTTAACAAGTTTACAGGAATTTTAATCAAATGATGCACGTAAAAAAGACAATTGTCTAAATATGCTATCAATTATTGATGCCTTTAGAACGTTTCGAGTTTTCCTATTTAGTTCTTCATCCGATAAAGATTTTTCAATCGTTCAAAATGTTTCTGACGTCAATATTGTTTTAAAATGAAACAATAGTTATGCAGTATAACTTAACAGAAACGGATTTTTTTTCGACTTAAAAACCAAAAACTTTCGGATATATTATGAAAATAAAATTTTAAAAAAGTCGAACCCTGCAAATTTTTAATGACACCTTTTACTATCAAGTTCAAATTTATATCACTAGAATTGAAAGAGAAATTTTTGTCATATGGACAACTATTTTATTGTTAAATATTGACAATGAACTGTATCAGACACGACATAGATATTCTGAAAGTTTTAACAGGATTGGATGTTTTGGGAGGAAAAAATGAGGGCAATGTGTTAAAGATGAACATGATATCCTATCATAGAAAAAAGTGTTGGTGAAACATAGTATTGCAATTTATTGTTGAATCGCTATTATGAGAAACTTGTAGAAGTAATGAAATCAAGGAGAAAAATAATAGTTCAAAATATTCTTTCCTAATTAAGAAGAAATATTAGTATCTATAGACCTATACTTGTTTTAAATCAATGGAAATCATATTGATTTTCTCTATTTCAAATAATAAAAATCACTATTTTTCTCGTTGACTCTCTCTATATGTATTATCAATTGATTTTAGATCACACATTCAATATACTTCACTTGAAACACCTTGAACAAATTGTACTCGATGAATGTGAAGACTATTTATGATTAAAAAGGATCACGAATGTATAGAACAAACAATCTCAAGAATGTTCGAATTAATGTTCAACAATGTTCTTGTATCCCATGTATCGATGCATATAGCACATGTCGAGTACAATTAAACGAAAAGTCACAATAGAGATTGTCTTTCGAGTACGTGATAACCAAAAATAAAAAAGAAGTAAATGTTTATTATCTTGTTGAAGTACATCGATTTAAATAATAACATAATGAAAATTTGTTCAGTAAAAAAATAACCGGAAAAGAAAAAAATTCAGAGCGAGTAAATAAAACGATAGTCATTTTGATACCAAAATAAATGTTCGTTTCTTAATTTCTTCTCTCGAGTATATCTTATGAACAATCTATAAATGTTTTGTTTTACGTTTAACCAATACTTGGAGTTGATGACACAGTTGTTGTAGTAGATGTTGTTGTTGCAATAGTAGTAGATGTTGTCATTGCTACAGTAGTGGTAGATGTTGCTATTGTTACAGCAGCGGTAGATGTTGTCGTTGCTACAGTAGTGGTAGATGATGTCGTTGCAACAGTGGTAGATGTTGTTATTGTTACAGCAGCGGTAGATGTTGTCGTTGTTACAGCAGCGATTGATGGTGTTGTTACAGCAGCGGTATTTATTATTATTGCTGCAGTAGTAATTGTTGTTGTATCAGAGGCTAAAGTTGGTGGAGTTGTATATTCTGAAAACAGAACATTTATATAAAGTAAGATTATAAATAATTCATATGAAATATTTAACTTACCAGTTAATACACTGACATCTATTTTTGCTGTAAGCGTAAATTTGACTCCATTATATGTAAATTCAACTACAATTGAACTTTGTGAAATCTTTGTAGCAAAATTTGGTTTTCGGCAGTTATCATTACACTTATTTTGGCTGAATGTAAATTGTAAGATAATTCTTTGTATACCTTGACCTGTTATTCCACGATGAAATCGTGAAAGAGGACTAAAATAAGCATGATGTTTTCTTTTGTTTCTATCTTTTTTAAGTAAAAAAATAACGTACAATCCTCGTCGTTTACGTTTATTTGCTTGTGTCACAACAGTACCTTGTACCACTCTTACAGCACCTTCTGATAAACCAAGTAATTGTTCGATCTATAATATAGATAAATTTAGAGAATAAAGAATATTCTATTTTCAATAAGAAAATATTTACTTTACGAGCAAAAGCTTCACGAGCTGCACTATCTAAAGAACCATCACTACCTAATGAACCATCATAATTGAGTGTCAGAAGATAAGTTGGGGCTCCTATACATGATACAAAATAGACAGTTTAATATAAAGAAAATTATTTGATAATAACTAATTTTTCTTACTCCACGAAACACTTTTTCGAGGCAAATAGATTGGTATCAATGAAAGTACAATTGCAGTTGCGATCAAGAATGCGGCGAGTAATAAACAACATATTCCAATTATCGGAGCAGTAATATAAGCAATTCTAATTGATTTGAAATAAAAAGAATATCAAATGAAGAGATAAATTCTTTTAAATAGATATATTTACTTGGTACGAGGATTAACAACAGGAGGAAAAGCAGCGTACACCATTTCAGTAAACGAATATTTATGTTATGGTTGAATCAGTTCGAGTTTTGAATATATATATACGTCAGCAGGCTTTATATGTACTTTTTTTCAATTTGTTGGAAATACTTACCCTTTCTACGATTTTTATCAATATTTCGAAGGAGTGGTTTGATATGTTTTTTTATTTCTTCGTTGGTATTTTTGAATTATATTTGTTTTTTTCTATTGATTGACAACCTTTAGTTTATTTCACAGGCCCTAAATTAAGCGTATATTGCATTCATGATTATCATGCATATGTTTTCGAAAAAAAAACCGCTTGCAAGATAAGGTTTTATACAATTATAAAAGAAGATTAGATATATTCTGGTCAAATTAACGCTTTCATTGACAAACTAACAAATTTGAAATATAAACTGTTCATGGCGTACACTGAGAGAGATAATGGATTTTTTAGGTATATGCAGTATATGTAAGATACTTACAAGTCAAAATTTTAACACCTTATTTTTATTTTTCATGATAGTTGAGATGTTAAAAGGTTTCATAAAAGTGAAGACTTTTTGGTCTGTTTTCCTCTTAATTTCTTTTTTTTAAGTTTGAAACATACTTTTTCTTAGACATTTCGATGAGCTCTGTCCGAGATAATGTTAAAATTTTGATTTGTGGATATCTTGTATTTACTGTAAATACCTAAAAACCCTATTATCTTCACAACGGACATTTCATATTGAAAATTTGTTAGTTTGGTAGTAAAAGCTTTAATTTGATTCGAATATATCTACTGTTCTTTTCTAACAGGTACAAAACTTTCCATTCTTCATGGAACAAATAGATAAAAACAAGGTATATTATGTAACACACCTAAGTTCTTGTTTTTATATGAAAAAAGAAATATCTTCTATAATCATTTGATTTGAAATATATTTTGTTTAAAAAAGTTTTCCACTTCTTTCATTACTAGTAAAAAAAAATTCATATTCATTCTTTTTCTATATACATAAACGTTATACAATGTCTCGCTTATTGTTATAGATGAATTGATCTAAATTAATTTTTTTAATATCAAATATAGAAAATAACCTGAAGTATGCACATCAAAGTCAATTCGTAAGCATGACATATAGTAAACTACATGAAAACAATTAAATTAGACAATGTCAATATTTTATTACAATTGTACATCGAGAGTTTTTATTATACAATATTTTGTTTACATTTTATTTAAATAATTAATAAAATATTATACAAGTCATAATATTCGAAGTAAACTATTACATGCCAATGTTTGTCTATTTCGGAAATGACTAAACTAAATTGGATATCTTTAAAAAAATATATTGTTAGAATACAAATTGAAGTCAATATTTTATAATGATTTATATGAAAAAGGCTATTAGTAAAATTTTAATCGATTTTTATCCTGCAGGGGGGTACAGGTAGATATTTTTTCCCCAGTGATTTTTTTAATTTTCTCATGCCCCCCCCCCCGCTCATGACTTGGGGCTCTCCCCTCAGAAAATTTCTGGGTACCTGCCTGATATCATGTTTTCTAAGCATCATAATTATGTGTCAAATAGAAAGTATGATAAAATGCAAAGAAGAATAAAGTATATCGACAGTAGATCATTAGACTGATAAAAGTGATCAAAACAATTATTAATTGACGCCTACGAACCATTCAAACATAAGCGACAGTTAGTCATAATTTATTTGATTTTTTACATTTGACACTTATTTGAAAAAATATTCAGAAAATCAATACATTTTCGAAAATTATTACAAAACAAAACCATTTTTTTCTGAATTCATCCACTTAAATAATATTCATATGTACGAATAGTATAATTTAATGATCTCTGTGTAATTTAAAATATAGTATAGTGATGACTTAACATGAAACAACAGGTACACTTTACTTTGTGAAATGAATAATCAAGGAAAAAAAATAACTATGAAAATCTATCGAAATATTTTTTTTTCTTTTTATATGAAAAAGCGTTTTAATGATGCCTTTATATTTCACTTGTTAGAATTTCATTATTGATGATTATAAAATGTAGCAGATAATCGATAATGTTTGTTTTTCGTTTTATAGGTTTAAACGGGTTTATTGGGTCTGAAAAATAATATACTGACATCTATAGATGTATGCCAAAGATTTCTTTCATCATAGGAGAGAAGGTTTCCAAATAATAAATTGTTTTCGTGCTATTGAGTCTTTGCTACTGAAGTTTCGAATGTTTCGTGAAGATTTTTAAGAAGTATGAAGATTCTGTAGATATGTTACGTAGAAAATTAATATGACTAAAACGATTAGTGCATCACAAGACTGATATTTGTTTACGTCAAGTAGCTCCGAAATTCGGAATCAGTTTTAAAATAATTAATAATCATTTGAAAGCTATTGACATATGCTGCTATTACGAAAGACAACTTCAAGATATTTCAATTTATGCGTATCATGTGTATCGTCTACTGTTCAAAGATAATTATGAATTGGCGATGAATGATGAAAAATATTATTTCTTACATTATAAATCTGTATCTATCAAACGCGGTCTCTACACATCAGATACAAGTACTACATCGCCCGATGTTAAGTTTAAAATAAGTCAAAACTTTGTTACTTAAACAAAACTATTTGAATGACTGTATTAAGGCATGTTTAATATCATTTATTGAAAGCTATCACACGAAAGAGAAAATATCATTCTAGTCAGGTTTAGCTTCGAGTCATTATGGTCATAATATAACAGTGTTTGAATGATAGTAAAATACAATTTGTAAAATAAAATGCAATCCTTAAAACTACCCATGACTGTGTCTGATAGAAACTTTGTAGTTAATACTCGTTGGCGTGATATATACGATGAAAGCTAGAAAGGATAAAAATATTGATCAACAGAAGAGAAGAATTATGAAAAAATTGAAAGATATCGATCTGAAACTTGTACGATCTATGTTTTCTGACATATGTAAACAACTCCGAAATATTACCGATAAAGGACGTTATGAAGTGTAAGTATAACTTTGTCTAAAAACTAGAAAAATTCACTTAAAATTCGGTATCTTAAGAATAAAGACTCAACAGTTGGAATCACTCTAGAGTATTCATTTACTCAATAAACATTATCAATTGAATATAATTCTAACTTAAAAGCGATTTATCACTTAAGAATCTTTCCTTGTTAGTTATACAACATAGTTTCGAAGTTAAAAAATCCAATATTCGATTCTGATGAAATTATCCTAGATGATAGTTGACAAATATGAAATTTTATATAGTTTAAAATAATGTAACAACATTTTTCAAATCAAATATATTTCATACCTTTTATAACACTATTGAATTAAAGTTTTTTTTTTGTCGAAGATCAGATGTTTATCTTTTTGAGTAAGATAAACTCATTCTGATCTAAAAAAGATGAATACACCATAAAATATAAATATTAATCGAACAGTCATTTTCTTCAAATCCTCATGGAGAGAAGAGCATAATTTGATCATTGATGTACACTAAAGTTATATTCATAGACAAGTGAATATAATTAGAAACAAAATTTTGTATATATAAATGTTTATAGAAAGGAAAAAACTCGAACATATTTTTCTACAGATATTATTAAACATATTTTTATGCTTCGAATTGTTTTTATATTACGGTTGATTGCCTATGAATGAATAATAGAACCAGATACTTCGTTTATTAATTTTTAAAAGAAATGAAAAACAAACATTATCTATTCACAATGATTTCCAGCAAAAATTTCAATATTTTTTTAATTTTTTCATTAATTTATTTTGTAGAAATTCTCTTTCTTACTATTATGTTTCATGGCTAACCAAACTTTCTTATGAAATTCATATTCAAAATATAAATTGAATTCTCTATTATTCGTATTGTAATAATGCTGATGAATTGTCTTAATAGCTTGGCCCACACGTTTCGAGTTACCATTTCACGAAAGGCATTCTTGTCGATGAAATTTTTTGTTCTTGTCATGACTTACATCTAACAAATTAACGAAAAAAAACAATTATTTTTCAAGCATATAAACATAATAAATAACATCAAAAATTGTATCGTAATAAATAAAAAGAACAACATAATTATTAAAAAAAAAACGAGAAATATTACGGTTCTCTGCAACTGTCGTAACTATCGAAGGTCGATCTCTAAAAGAAAATTAATCGTTACATGTATTTTTGTCATGAGCAAAAGAACAAAAAGAGTGTTGAAGTAAAAGACAATACTATGCAAATTGTTTTGTGAACACTTATGCATACCTATATGTCATGACTAAGTTTACATTGTTTATCAAGTTGTTATAGAAGGTGAATCAAACAATTAATAACAAATTAATTGAGAATGCTACTATAAATATGTTGAATTCAAGTTCAAGTTATATAATTGAAGACGATATATTTTCATTTCGAATATGAAAAATGAGATGTAAAAATTATAAATGAATAATTTTATTAAACTCTCTTTCATATTGATAAACAATCGAAAATATACTTAGATCATATCAAAAGTAGTGGCCCCCGCATCTTAATTTCCTATAGACTACTTGGAAAAAATTTCTTTTTTATGAACAGATAGAGCGTCTTTTGCTCTATCTTTCTATGCTATTTGATCACTATTCAACTAATATCATAATAATAAAATTTCGATAAGATTTGTTTCTTTCGCATATGTGCTGGTAGCATGAATGCTCGTAAGTACTTTTTTGAATAACGTTTGATAGCAACAAGATAGAGAACTGCAATTTTCATCGTTGGAAAGAGGAGAGGAAGACCGATCGAACTGTATATTACTGATTTTTCTAATACCATTTCTGAAGTTTTTTTATTCAATTTTCTAACCGTTGAAAAAATGTTTTTTTTTTTATGAAAAAAAGAAAAAGCAAAAAAGTTGATAGAAAATCGTAGTTATTATCTCTAAATAATTAAATTTAAACATCTGAGTCTTTCGCAGTTCGAAGATCTTCGATTAGCGGTTTGAATATGAACCTGATTATTAAATATTCACTGTAAACAACTGACGGGATAGGTTTGTTCTTTAAAAGGTCAACTGAAAACCTTACAAAAAACAGGAAATCAGTAATATGCGGTTCGATGTGTCTTCATTTCCTCTTTTTCAACGGTGAAAACCACAGTTCTTTATCTTGTTGCTATCAAACGTTATTCAAAAAATACTCACGAGCATTCATGTTCCTGGTACCAGGACAAATGCGAAAGAAACAGATCTCATCAAAATTTTATTATTATGATATTAGTTGAATAGTGATCAAATAGCATAGAAAGATAGAGCAAAAGACGCTCTATCTGTTCGTAAGAAAGAAATTTTTTCTAAGCAGTCTATAGGAAATTAAGATGCGAGAGTCACTACTTTTGGTATGACATAAGTATTTAGAGAAACAAGCTTTCCTCATCAAAGTTGAAAATTATCTAAAAATAAACACTTTAAACTACACACAATGTCATTAATAGTTAATTATATTTAAAAAAAGAAAAGTTGAATAATTATTCAGTCTGAAGGATATTGACATTGAAAACATGGTTGATGAAATTATTTTCTTCTTTTATTGAATTAACGGATGAGCCAAAATAAATGGTGGATTTTTGTATTTCTTTTTTTTTTCTATCATCTTTTATGTTTATTTCAAAAAATAAAATATACTATAACATGTAACCGTGAAAAGCTCTACAAGACATATTAAAAGTATAGTTTTATATATGTACTTTTTGTTTTCAAAATGGACACAGTTCTGTATAACTAATTTTTAACGCTGTGAAAAACACAATTTTTTGGTACCGTAAGAATTCATTTTTTTTTCTTATTTATCACCTAATATGCTTTATTCAAAAGCAAAAGTATGGCAGTGGCAATAGCGTCTCAAACATAATAATAATGCAGAACATTGAGATTGGCACTGTTTGCTGACCATCTGTGATTGTTTACGAAGTGCAAGATATTCTCTTCACATCATGTCAATGATTTCTGATGTGTATGCAGCATTGTGTTGTCCCATTGATAGATGACATCATCACCAGGTGGGCGTCGACCTTCAGCTTACGCATTTAGAAGAACAACTTCAATATAATTCTCATGTGATAATGTTTCAGCAGGTTTAAAAATAATTGAAAACGTAAGGTCATTTTCAGAAACTGTTAACCACACTATAATTCTTTTTGGTTGATACTTCTTCATTCGTCTAACTCTTGTTGATTTCAAGCATAAATGTGTTCTAATGAGAAATATTTTTCGTCCATGAAATGAAATAGTGGATTGATTGTTTACTAAAAAAATGATTATGTTTGCAGCGTCGGAAATTGATCAAATGAAACATGCATATATATAAAATAAATTGTTTTTTTGTAAATTGTAGATCTTGTCACACTGCATCTTATGGTATATTTTGTTTTTAAAATAAACATAAAAGAGAATAAAAAAAAACAAGCGGCTATTCATTATGAGTAACCCGTTATTTATTCATCTTAATTAATAAAAATGAATACTTTGAGTTTTTCTTGTTTTCAAAGCATTTCATAAAGTCGAAAGATTATTAATTTTGCAGCTAACATAATTATCTTTATTATTTAGTATTACTGAATATTTTTCTTCATTAGGTTAAACTCAATTTGCACCCCATTTTCTCTACGAAGAGATTCAACATTTAAACGATTTACAAAGTCATATAAATTATTGACCAAATAAAAGTTAATATATCTCGTGTCGATGTGCAAATATTGAGTACATACATACTGTAAAATATCTGTTTTGTGGAACTCACATTATATTTTTCAAAGAAGAATAGAAGGAGTATAAGTTTAAAATTCGAGAACTTGCAGATTCCTCTCCTTCATAGCAAGAACACGTAGAAGTCTAACGGTTATTGAGTACGCTTTCGTAGCAACCGACGGTAACAGGCGTCAAACTTAACGGCATTAATAGCAAGACTTAGACTTCTAAAATATTCAAAAATCTTCTTCGGCATCTGAATGGCTGATGATGGATAGTAATGTATTGACAGGCCACAGTCGTCATATGTTTAACATAAAAAGTGTGAATTGAGTAATTTATAACTTTGAGAAAGCAAATATAATCTACTAGAAATTTTGTATTAGGATAATGAGGCTAAAGAAAACACATGTAAGTTTCATATTTTAATTTCAAAGAAACTACACTGAGAAAACCTTTTTTTCTCTAATTTTAGCATAATATTATCTAAGTAAAATTCTTCTCAATCGCATGACGTTGTTCTTTTTCCAATTGACTCTATGTAAAATGATATGACTAGAAATCTTCATCAAAGAAACAACATGATAATGTTAGAAAAAGATATTGGATATTACACAATATTTTGTTAAATTTAGAATAGGAGAATGTATTGTTGAAAGAAAATAATAATTCGAAAAATACTAAACAAGGATATTTATACACAGTAATTTTTTGTATGTCAAATCAATGTTATGTATCCGATATAATCATTTTAATATCTTGTACTAAATGTATTTTATTTAAACAATATCTAGGTATTAATTAGGAAAACATTTTCAAATATTACCATTAGTACCAACAATGAATATATTCGAAACCTATGGTGGTTAATAGTTTTTCCAATTTTATATAAATATAACTATGCTAAAAGAAATTATCAGTACAAATACATTGGTTATTATGTTTAATTCTTTATATACTTACTAACTTGTTCGTTAGTGTTGTTGTGTATTTACTTTAATATTATTTCACCAAAAAGAAAATCATATATCACTACTTCATGTATTTTGTTACTTTTTGTAGAAAGAAACAGAACAAAAAAAAAAAAGTAATCAATGGAGAGCGGACAGGATAGGTATGATCAAAGAAGACAAACGAAACGAGAATGTACATTCGTTATCGTTTGAGGATAATGTAAAGAGTTCTTTTTTATTTTTGTGCTCCAACAGCATCTTCATATTTTGAACCAGGAAAATCTTCATTTCCAATAAGATGATATGGAGGTTTTGTTAATGCACCAGAATCACCTATTACAATAGTTCGAAAATAAACTACTGCAAATGTAAAAGCAAGAATACCACCAACAAGCACTTTGTTATAATATGCTTGTTGTTTTCCATTAATTTCTTGCCAATTGCCTTCTGGTTTTGGTAACCAATCAAGTGTTGCTTTATTTTGCCATAAGCGTTCATACATCATCTTATATGTATCATGATGACCATGATGATCAACTTCATCATGATGACTACCATGTTGTACTGCACCACTTCCATGACTATTATGTCGACGAGAATCAATCATACGAATATTATTTGTTGTAAGTGCACGTTTTGCAACAGTTGTTGCATTTGAATTTAAGACGCGTGCCAACATGTCCAATAGAGAGATAAGTTGAAGCCAATAAATCTAAAAAACATACAAAATTTAAATAGAGAAACATTTTTTTTTTATTCATATGTCTTGTTTTCATATGTGGTTGCTTGTAAACAATATGGCAATCAATAAACCAATAGAATTTAAGAGAATAAGGATAGATAGCGCTCTACACTCATAAACTAAATTAGTACGTTGTCTGACGAAAAAAATGTAACTAGAATCACCAATTGACTACATGATGCACTACCAGTGGCGACACCTGATTCAAATCCTCACATCTAAAAAAAGAATATAATAGAAATAGTATGTTTCACGTGTTCTACCAAACTATATATTTTATTTTTGTCTAAAATGACTTTCATTCGCATGATGTCGCCACACTACGACTATCCGAGTACTGTCAAACGAGTAGCGTATGTTTGATCTTGAAATAAAATTTATAATGGCCTCCTTGTGAGAAACATCTGCGAGATGTCGCGAGGTAAACCTCAGTATTAAGATTCATTAGAAAAAATTTTATACAAGAAAAACTATCATTTGAGATAAAGAAAATATTGCGAAAAATATAAGCTTTTAAAAATGAGTTTCATCCTAAGTGCGGGTGTGGGTGTGTCGGTGTGGGCTTTTATGATGAGATTTCAGGATATTACATAGGTTTTTCTGAACTTCCCTATTGAAAAAAATAAGGTTCTTAAAAACTTATACTCCGTTTTTCACAAAATCAATTTTTTCGAGCATACCGTTTACGAGGACAAGGTTTTCTTCATAATGACTCAATATAGAAGTGATGATTTTTTTTTAATGCATAGTAGACGGGTAGGGCTACATCCTCCCAGGATCCGATTTTTGAATTCCTCTTTTGGTAAAAAAAAAAACCTTAGATATTTTATTTTTTAGTAGCAATTTTTTGGGGATGATTTCGTGAATTTTACGAAAAAGGATTTTTAAAAAACGAACAAAGAGAAATTCAAAAATCGCGGGCCCTAGGAGGATCTTGTCCTAAGGATACTCTACAGCTTGAAAACCACCCGGGCTTGGTAGCTCGTATCCTTATTGTGACATCCTTGCCCGCGTACAGGGTACTTTTGACCAATAAATTGACTATAACTCATTAGTTTATTGGAGATTTGGGGGAGATATTTTAACCAGAATCTCTTCTAGCCTAGACTAACATCCTCTGAAATTTTGGTTGAAATCGGATGAAAAATAACAAAGTTCGTTTCTGAGGGGGGCCTTAACGGTGACTACACTGGTTCAATCATGAATCACCAGTTATTAGTCATGTACTTATGATTGATCCGCATAATCTAGCACTTGAATATGTATGTTTAAACTAAAGATGGCTCAGCTTTGAAAGTTTTTCTCTTTGATTAAAAAACTAAAGAAAGAAAAAAGTTACGTAAAATTTTCAATTTATCATTTTTGTCTCGGATTGGTCGAATCTTCATAAACAATAGACCACAACTATCCGGCTATCACAAGTGTGTTTTTTTTCTATACAACTAATCTTAGTCTTCATAAAATTTTTAGAAATGAGTTATTGTGCTAGCAATAGTAAAGTGAAAATTGTTACATTTTCTAAAAGTTGATGTCGATATGTTGGAATTGTTTCTGGTACACTGAGTTTTTATTAAAAAAAAAGAAGCATTTTCTTTCATTAAGGTGTGGACGTCAAACAAAACTTATTATTTCTTACAAATGTGAAGTGTTTCGGTGAAGAAAATGTTGGAGATAAGTCATCCATTAGTGAAGATACTAATACAATTTTACCTATCATGGTTTTTGAAAGTCGCGATATTAAAGAATTAAAAATTGTTCATAAAGATCAAAGTCAATCAGTAGCATCTTCACATGACATATTTACTCCATCATCATCATTAGAGCAAAAGCAATCATTGATTGTTGATCATCCACCAACTGTCTCAGCAGTGATTGGTACATCGGATAAAGCTTCATCAATATCTAGTCAAATAATAGGTAATCCTCATGATTTACATATAACTCATCAACAATCGAACACATCCCTAAATGAAAGTATATTATCACGAGATTAACATGGGCTACTATAGAAATAAAGTATCTAGAATGTAGGTTGACCATACAGAAAAAAATTGAAATCGAAATATGCTATCAAAAAACTTTTCAAATGTCAGCCGCCTAATGAATTAGAAATAAAATTGCACACATAAACGCAGAAAAAGATTCATGCATCATACCTCCTCTGGACAAGTCTCGCGGCCTTTGCTGTAATCGATTCGGTGTTTGTCAGAATTGTTAGTACCAGTCGATATTAGAACCTTTTACAACGAGTCTTCTTTCTTTCTTTCCTCCTAATATTCATATTTCATCTGATTCTTTTTTTGTATTGTTAGGAAAAAATACAGGTCTACGTGTTGGTGACATATACAAGGTGCGAAAAAGCGTCACCGCAATTTTCGAGTCATTATGCAAATACAAATTACCGTCATATGCATCAAGCATATCATCAAAGTCATCAGCTTCAAGTTCGAAGAAAAAAGAGAATAAATCTCCTAAAAGTAGACCATGCATAATTTAGAGAACATCTCCAAACATTGAAATCATGGTAACAGCATCATTTAGCAAGGCTAATGTAAATGATCCAAGTGTTAAATTATTTGAACCATTATCAAAAAGTTTTGTTCTCAATCGTCTTTTGCCAATTTCTCCAAAAGAAGCACTTTTAGGAAGAGAATCAATTACAACACTATCAAGAACGAACGGTCCAAGTACGATACATACGTGATATTAAAGACTCTCATTATTCAACCTGAAGAATTAAAAGACGTAGTGCCCGCATATGTTTCAAAGGAAGATTTACTCTATATTAACTCAGTTCTATATGAAGCAGAACTGAGAGAGTTTACAGAAAGCAAGGAAGAGAAATCCGAACAAATTGATTTTCCATCCTTAATGAATATACACAATAATACTGATAATAATGATAATGATGATGAGAATAGTAATTTATCTAAGTATTCTTCACTACCAATTAGGAGAAGCATTTTGTCAAATGAAGATGTTTTCTGCAAGTACAACAGAATTCAAACTTGGATTGATGAATGTAAGTTCAAATGATACTTAATCAAAACCTAATATATCTTTATATTTGTGTATAGGTGAGCCCTATTTTGATGTGATCGAAAAGGAACTGTCGTCACTTGTATTATCAAATATTAATAGATTTGAGATAAATGAATATTTAAAACCAGAAGTACAAATGAAAAACCTTAATTTGTAGTTTAATTGTAAAACTATTGCAAATTACTTGGAGATAATTTCAGTCTGATAAACTTGAGATTTTTTTTTATTATATTATGTATTTCTTTTATATTATTATCAAAAAAACGTATAACATAAACACTTAGAAAGAGATTACAGGATTTTCTGCCGTATGATTTACTCCCATTGTATACTGTTGTTTATGTTGCAGTTGAAGTTCGTGTAGTTTAGTTTAGCTTGAGATAATATCGATTGATATTATTTATCTTGCCATATATGATGAAATTTTACCGTTATTAATTTGACGAATATATTCCTAGAGAAGCACAATTTAACTTTCTTATTGATTCATTTATTTCACAAACAATACATAAATTTCGATTTCATGATATACTTAAGAAATTGTATATCTATAGATCTAGGAAGTTAACTTGACTAATTTCTCTCAGAAAACAAAATTTGAAATATATGAAATAAAATTTGTGAAACTTGGTTATATGAATAAGAAAACTATGAAATATTGAAAAGAGAGAAAGAGAGATAATCTCTTTCTTCAAATATAAATTGATTAATAAGAGAAAAAATTTTTCTAAAAATCAGCTATTTGAAAGAGAGAAATCTAACTTTGGACTAACATAAAACACATAATCAAATTATTGATCTGATAGAAAACTCATTTGAAAATATTTGATGAAAGTTATTCATTATGATAGAGAAAAGTCAAACACGATTGATATGTTTCTGTATCGATATGAAATATTTTGAAGATAAATAACAATAAAATCCATTTAGTTGTTAATCAATCGGTTTGTAACTTGTTAAATATAGTTTATTTCGTTATTCTTTCTGACAAAGATAATAAAAATAAGAGAAAAATTTATTGACAAAATCAGTCATTTATATATGAATGATGAGAATTTATTGTCATATTTTTGACTGATATCTTCAGAAATCAATGAGGACAGTCAAGAGCTAAAACAACCAAAGAAAAGAGTGTTCTTTTGTTAATATAAATCAATTATATTAAGATGACTTGAAAATGTTGCCTTGTTTATATATATACCTATATTGATCATGAGTAACAACTTATTATACTAGATAACATTCAACAGTAAGACTACTAACGAGAAACATCATATTATCGATTCGAAAAAAACTATTCTCATTGTTCATTCGTTGTTATTTCATGTTCAAGTGTCATTATAAGAATAAACTTTTCTTTTTACAATATATATAGATATAAAATATATTGTAGATATATATCAATCGACTTTGATATCGATTTCTTTAAACGAAATAACGTAAAACCCATAATTAAAGAGGTCGATCGGTAGCTTTTATTGATTAAAAGTCCTATTTAAAATAATTCTGATCCGAATATGAATACTTAATTGATGACTATTATAATATCTGTCGAAAAATATTTTTAATATAGATAATATTATTGAAATAATAATGAATTGATTAATTTATCTAATTAAAATAGATTTCATTTGATTTCGAAGAAACAAAAGAAAACAATTAGGTGATTGATATTGAATAATAATTGATGTTATAATTAATTTGAGTATAAAATTTGATTTTAAAATGGAGAAAAGTTAGAATGATTGATATCTAGACTATTATCACATTGTTCTTGATGTTTTTGGTCAAGACATTTTAAAATAACATCTGCATAAGCTTTTTCTCCTTTGTATATAGAAATATCATCTGACCAACCACGTATAGCTGAAGCTAATCGTCCTGGTATACTTGCTTCTTTAGCTATTTCAACAATGGAAATAAAATAAGGACGAATAGTAAAAAGAATAGCTCTACTTCTTGGTAATCGTCTAAGTATTTGTCTTTCACTACCTAAATGAATATTTTCAATTGGCGAATTTGGTTGAGCATTTTGCCAGCCAATACCAAATTGATCTTCAGATCCAATTGAATTCGATCAAGCTAATTCTCCATCTGTTTGATTAAAATAATTATGTTTAATCACAGCATGTTCAGGAGTTATCTTGTGAAAATATTTTTCCGCACTATATTGTAATTTTTCTTTAAATTTAGGTGCATCGCCTGAAAAATCAATTTGTGCAAGAGGCATATTAAATTTAGGTGCTTGTTCACTTTAAACACACTCTGTACACTAATTGGCGTGTTTAACACACGCACATCAAAGAGTGTGGGTGAAGGGATGTGTCGAAAGTGAACAAGTACCGTTATTTACTTTTTCCGTTCTTGTTTTAATCATTTTATTATACATGTCACTAAATTAATGAAGAGAAAATTATTGTTGCAACCGTATCGTTTGATTCTTGAAAAATCAGTAGAAGTTATGGAATGATGTGGAACATTCATTCGAAATTTGTATCTCATAACTCAATGCACTTTACTCTATTCTACAGGTCATAAAAACTAAAGAAAAACAAAATAAAACAGCTAATACCATTGTACCAGTTAGACCAGAGCTCATATACGTATTTAAATCAATTTAGTCTACGATTTCCAGTACTTCGTTATTTGAGATATTTAGTTTTTTAGTAGAGATTATGATCTTTGAGAATGAAGATTATTTTTTATTTATATTCGACAATTAGTCGCCGTTTCATTTCGATTAATGTTCGTTTTATCTAAAAATTTCCTATTAGGCTTTTTTGTTTGATTATCTTTTATAAATGCATCTGGAAAGTAAAACGATTTTGACAATTAGATCAAAAGTTTCTTACAATAGTAGAACATATCTAAGAAATCAAGAATGTAAATGATTGAATGAAAAATATCAGCTTTTATAGACTACGCATGTACTACATCTGCATGTCAATTTGATATTATAATTAGATCTCCACGTTTATCTACTTATCCAGATTATGTCTGCATTTTCGACATTTTTATGTACCATGTTTTGATCATATTTTTTGGAATTTTTATTCTAACATTGTTGAGATATATACCGGGTGTCCCAGAATAATTGCAACATGCGGTATTTTGCGTATATCTCAGCATAAATAAATGATAAAAAGCTTGATTTTTTTTCAAAAGATACGCCGTGAAAAGCTCTACAAAAAAAGCCGGAAAAAATCTCTACTAACATATTCTAATAATTGGTCCTATAGTAAAAATGAAACATCGACATATTAGTGCTACTTCCCACCGTGTTTAAAATAATAAAAATGTTTGAAAGACCTTTTTCTGCTATGCACTAGGAATTTGCTCACACAGCTTTTGTAGAGTTTTCGACGGCGCATCTTTTAAAAAAAATATCAAGATGCTCTCATTTTCTCAAACCGAGATACAGGCAAAATAAAAAAGTCTTCCGAGCATTTTTATTATATTAAATACGATGGGAAGTAGTGGTATCATGTGTTTTTTTTTCTATTTCGAGTAGGGAAGAAACCATCAAAACAAGTCATTATGGATTTATTCTTACAGTCTTTGTAGAGCTTTTCGCGGCTCATCTTTTGAAGAAAAACAATCAAAATTTTATCATTTATTTGTGCAGAGATATTTGTAAAACAAAACATGTTGCAGACATTTTTGAACACTCGGTAGCAACATCACGCAGATCTTCACTTTTGACTATCAAGAAAAATCATCCGACCACGTCGATAGGGATTTGTACATATAGCTTGTTTAGGACTTTCGACAGCGCATCTTTTGAAAAAAAAATCAAGATTTCATCGTTTTCTGGAGATGAGATATATGCAAAATAAAAAAGGTCTTCCAAACATTTTTATGACTCTAAACACGGTGGGAAGTAGCACTAATATGTAGGTGTTTCATTTTGACTATAGGATCAATCATCAGAACACGCTATTAGAGATTTGTTCCAGCATATTTTGTCGAGCTTTTCACGGTGTATCTATTGAAAAAAAATCAAGCTTTTTATCATTTATTTATGCTGAGATATATGCAAAATACAGCATGTTGCAATTATTTTGGGACACCCGGTATAAATATATTAACGAGTCCACAATAGTTGTTCGTCAATATTAGATCCTATATGATTTTCTCATCAATGCTACTTTGCTGGAACTTATCAATTAAAAATTCATGTCGAATATTTTTAAATAATATGTCAATGTTACTTTTATCCTTACCTTCAATTTTCAATGTTGCTAGAACAAGCTTTCAATGATCAACAGTTGTTTTACCACCATACTTTTCGTTTAGTTTTTTTTGGGTGTGGGTGTGAGTGGGTGCGGGTCGGTGGGTGCGGGTCGGTGGGTGTGGATGTGGATGTGGATGAGGATGTGGGCCTGGGTTGAGGGTGAGTGAATAGTCTCGGTGTGGACGTGATATCAGCTACGAGAAGACTAAAACACACATCCACACCCACACCCCATACAAAGACAATTTCAAGTTATATATCAAAAATCATTTACATACTATTTATTCATTGATACTTTTTAAAATGCATATTAATGAAATTTGAGCTATTGAATAACGAATGTCATAATCAAGGAATCTTGTAAATTCTATACTTATTTCTTTAAAAATAAATAAATAAATACACACAATCAAATTGAAGTTGTAGCCATGAAATGTTTTATTAATGCATCAAAAATTATACTTCAGTAGGATTTATATTAGTTTGTATTATTGAACAGAGACTTAAGTTAATTTAAATCAACAAATCAAGAAATACAACATTTAACTTATGTATTCTTTTTCAAAATAGATTAACACAGTCTTTTATCTTTCTCACAACAAAATTTCATTCTATTTGTTGTATTCATAATATACATTCTTTAAATACTACATTGATAATAT